GGGACACGTGAGTTTCTTGAACCCCCAGGATCCAGCCTTTGCCACGGATTTGTTCTCAATGCGTGCTAACCCTCGCCCGATCTTTGTATTTTGTAATGGAAAAAGTTCGCCAAGTCCACGCCCCCACGGAGATCGGAGCAGAAGAAGAGGCACGGCCGCACTATACGGCTAGCAACGGGTTTAACGCGCCACTGCTCAGGCTCGGCTGGCGGTGCAATGAAATTGAACTTGGCGCGGATCTCCTCGCGGTCGAACTTGAAGGCACGCAGGTTCTCCTCCGCGAACTCGAGCGCGGGCTGGCTGTCAGGGCCACGGTGCGGCGTGACCTTGACCAGCGGCTCCCCTTGAGTGGACACTTCTCAACGCTGCTTGTTGATGTGAATATGGTGCGCTCCTCCTCCTCCTCCTCCTCCTCCTCCTCCTCCTCCTCCCCCTCCTCCTCCTCCGTGTTCTCCCCCTCCTCCTCCTCCTCCTCCTCCTCCTCGAGATCCTCCTCCTCCTCCTCCTCCTCCTCCTCCTCCTCCTCCTCCTCCTCCTCATCATCATCATCATCATCATCATCATCATCATCATCATCATCATCATACATCCATCATCATCATCATCATCATCATCATTCCTCCTCATTCCTTATCATTCCTCCTCCTCCTCCTCCTCCTCCTCCTCCTCCTCCTCCTCCTCGAGCTCCTCCTCCTCCTCCTCCTCCTCCTCCTCCTCCTCCTCCTCCTCCTCCTCTCCTCCTCCTCCTCCTCCTCCTCCTCCTCCTCCTCCTCCTCCTCCTCCTCCTCCTCCTCCTCCTCTCCTCCTCCTCCTCTCCTCCTCCTCCTCCTCCTCCTCCTCCTCCTCCTCCTCCTCCTCCTCCTCCCCTTCCTCCTCCTCTTCCTCCTCCTCCTCCTCCGACGGCCGCGAGTCTGTCCCGCGCGCCCGGAGCTCGGTGATCGGGAGCCGGCAGACTCCTCCGCCGCCAAATAAAGGAGGGCGGTTCCCCCAGGGGTTGCCAGCTGTCTGGAACAACGGTCGCTCCTAAGGGGGAGGGGTCTGCTGGCCGGCGCATCTGGCCTCCGTTACTTGGGACCACGGCGGGCCCCGCGACGATCAGGTAGCCCAGCTCGAGCGCGGCCCGGCGCTCCAGGCCGCCACGCCAGCCGCCGCCCCCCCCTCGGAGCCTCCCACAGCAGCAGCGCCGAGCAGCCCCCAACGCCGCGCCGCCGCCGCGCCCCGCTGCCGCCGCCGCCGCCAGGCCGCCGCCCACCCGCCGCCCGGCCGCGCCAGACTGCGCGCCTGGCCGCTCGCCGCGGCCGCCGCACGCCCCAGCTGCGGCCGCCTCGGCCTCGCCACGGCCGCGGTCTCTCGCGCGCAGCGCCGGCCCCGTCTCCAGGCGCGCCTCTGGCGCCTTGCTTCGGCAGCTCCGCGCCGTAGCCAGCGGCGCCCGCCGCAGCCGCCCCGTCAGCCGGTGCCTGGCGCTGCCGCCGGGTTGCGTCCGGGGCAGCTCACCCCCCGCCAAGGTGGCCCCGCCTGGCGCCAGCCCTGCGCCTGCGTCGCCGCCAGCACCGCGTCGGCGGCGTGGCGCTGCAAGACGCACCCGAGCGACTGGTATAGTCACTGGATGGCTGCAGAGCGCTCAGTGGCCTGGGCTGGTGCGAGCAGCCGCGTCCGCGCCAGCGCTTCTTCGCCCAGGCGGCCGTGGCTTCCTCCTCCAGTTCCTCCTCCTCCTCCTCCTCCTCCTCCTCCTCCTCCTCTCCTCCTCCTCCTCCTCTCCTCCTCCTCCTCCTCCCTCCTCCCTCCTCCTCCTCCTCCTCCTCCTCCGCTTCTCCTCCTCCTCCTCACTCCTCCTCCTCCTCCTCTCCTCCTCCTCCCTCCTCCTCCTCCTCCTCCTCCTCCTCCTCCTCCTCCTCCGCATCCGCATCCGTATCCGTATCCCGTATCCGTATCCGTATCCGTATCCGCATCCGCATCCGTATCCGTCCGTATCCGTATCCCGTATCCGTATCCGTATCCGTATCCGTATCCGTATCCGTATCCCTCCTCCCTCCTCCTCCTCCTCCTCCTCCTCCTCCTCCTCCTCCCCCTCCTCCTCCTCCTCCGTATCCGTATCCTCCGTGTCCTCCGTATCCTCCGTATCCTCCTCCTCCTCCTCCTCCTCCTCCTCCTCCTCCTCCTCCTCACCATCATCATCAATCGTCACCAGCATCATCATCACCGCCGCCACCTCCAAAATCATCATCATCATCAGCATCGTCGTCGTCGCCATCATCATCATCATCATCATCATCATCATCATCATCATCAGCATCATCATCATCGTCATCATCATCCGTATCATCCGTATCCTCCTCCTCATCATCATCCATCCCTTTTCCTTATGCTTAACTTCTCCCTGTCGAACCCCGAGTCCAGTTTTTAGGGCGGTCCAGGCGACTCGCCTGAGACTTCCTGACCACGTATGACTCTAAAGCTTAAAACTTGGCAACCGTTTAACAAAAGGAGGGCGGGTTTTCAAAGTATAGCTCTCGCATGAGCGCAGCGCACATTCGTTTTGAAAGTTGCAAGAGGTTCACAGATTGAGGGCGGGTCCTTTTCACAATGTGGCTCTCGCCTGAGGGCGGCGCCCATTCGTTTTTTAAATTTACAAGAACTTCAAGGATTGAGGGTTGTTCCTTTTCAAAATGCTGCTCTCGTCTTAGCGAGGCGCACATTCGTCTTAAAACAGTGCTAGAGGTTCACGGATTGAGGGCGGCTCCTTTCCAAAATGTGGCTCACGCCTTCGCGCGGCGCACATTCGTTTTCAAAATTCGCCAGAGCTTCACGAATTGAGGGCGGCTCCTTTTCAAAATGTGGCTCGCGCCGTAGCGCGGCGCACACTCGTTTAAAAGTTGCAAGAGGTTCACGGACTGAGGGCGGGTCGTTTTGAACATGTGGCTCTCGCCTGAGCGCCGCGCACATTCGTTTCAAAAATTTGAAACGTACCAGATATGGTGTTTGGAAAAGAACCAGGATTATGCGAGCGCAACAGTTACGTTGATTCTCTGTGTTGAAGTCGTAGGGGTGGCACTCTGCCACGATTCAGGATCGTCAACCGCAACAGTCAAGTCAATCCGTGGCGTTGGAAGCCCGAGAACAATGGTTTGGCATGCTTCAGGGTCTTCAAATGGGTGTCGTCCAACGAGGCAGTTCCATCAGTGGATATGAACCGTTGTAGGGGCCTATGAAGAGGGAGCTCGGAGGGAGGGTTTACTCCAACATCGTTGATGACCCTTGGGTTTACACTGGTCCTCCTCCTCCTCCTCCTCTTCCTCCTCCTCTTTCTTCATCTTATTATGCATATCCTCCTCCTCCGCCGCATTATCTTCCTCCTTTTCCTCCTCTCCCTCATCCTTCTCATCATCATCACCATGCATCATAGTCATCATCACCATCATTATCATCAGCATCATCATCAACATCATCAGAATCATCATCATCAACATCAGCATCATCATCAGCCTCACCAGCATCATCATCATCATCATCATCATCATCATCATCATCATCATCATCATCATCATCATCATCCACAGCATCATCATCATCATCATCAACAACATCACCATCAGTATCATCAGCAGCATCCGCATCATCATCGGCATCATCAGATTCATCATCAGCAGCATTAGCATTATCAGCATCGTCATCATCATCATCATCATCAGCAGCATGAGCATCATCATCATGAGCCGCAGCGGCAGCAGTATCGTCCTCATCATCAGCGGCATCATAATCATCATAATAAGCATAATCATCAACATCAGAGTCCGCATCACAACCATAAACCATCAGCAACAGAATCATCAGCATCATCATCATCATCATCAGCATCACCGTCAGCATCAGCATCAGCAGCGTCATCATTATCGTCATCATCATCAGCAGCAACAGTATCAGCAGCAGCAGCATCAGCATCAGCAGCATCATCAGCATCATCAGCATCAGCATCATCACCAGCAGCACCATCAGCATCATCGTCATGTTCAGCATCATCATAATATGCATCACTACCATCGTCATGATGATCATCATCATCACCAGCATCCTCATCATAATCATCACATAATCATCACCATCAGCATCATCATTATCATCATCAGCATCATCATCATCGTCATCACCAGCAGAATCATCATCATCAGCAGCATCATCCTCTTTCTGATCCTCCTCCTCCTGCTCCTCCTGCTCCTCCTGCTCCTCCTGCTCCTCCTGCTCCTCCTCATTATTATCATCATCAACAGCATCATCATCAAAAGCAGCATCATCAGCAGCAGCATCAGCATCAGCATCAGCAACATCATCAGCATACTCATCATCATGAGAAGCATCATCAGCAACAGCATCACCATGGGCATCACCATCAGCATCAGCACCAGAATCATCATCATACTCAACATCCTCATCGTCATCAGCATCATCATCAGCATCATCTGCATAATCATCATCATAATCAGCATCAGCATGAGCATCATCAGCATTACCCTCACCATCATCATCAGTATCATCACCATCATCATCATCATCATCATCATCATCAGCAGCATTAGCATCATCAGCAGCAGCATCCTCCCCTCCTCGTCCTCCTCGTCTCCCTACAGTCAACCCGTGCAGTAAGGATGCGCGATAAGGATGCAAGGGCCTTGGACGCCCAATTCGAAGCTCTTCGAGCAGGGCGCGGCCAACGAACGTGGCGAAGGATGAACCGAGGGAGCAAGGATGCAAGGGTGCCCTTGGGAAGGCTGCCCATCCTTATTATGCGGGTTGACTGTACCTCTCCTCCTCCTCCTCCTCCTCCTCCTCCTAATCCTCCTCCTCCTAATCCTCCTCCTCCTCCTTGTTCTCCTCCTCATCTTTTTCTTCTTTTCTTATTATGATTATTACTCCTCCTCCTCCTCCTCCTCCTCCTCCTCCTCCTCCTCCTCCCCCTCCTCCTCATAACGTCTGCCCCCCCCCCCCTCCCCCCCCAGAAGGCGTGCCGGCACACGGGGCAGGCGCGCTGCAGATCGAAAGCGCGCGTGAGGCAGCGCTCGCAGCCAGCGTGGCCGCAGGGTGGCGCCACCGGCCGCACCTGCGCCGCCCATCACCCCTGCGGATGCAAAAGTGAGGAAGAGGAGGAGAAGGAAGAAGAAGAGGAACAGGAGGAGGAGGAGAAGGAGGAGGAGGAAAAGGAAGGGGGGGAGGAGGAGGAGGAGGAAGAGGAGGAGAAGGAGGAGGAGGAGGAGGAGAAGGAGGAGGAGGAGGACAACGGGGACGAGGAGGAGGAGGAGGAGGAGGAGGAGGAGGAGGGAGGAGGGGGAGGAGGTGAAGGAGGAGGAGGAGGAGGAGGAGGGAGGAGGAGGGAGCAATGCTGGCCTCCACGCTGGGATTCGCAAGTCTGCCACAGCCCGCTGTCGCGTCGCGAGGCCGGGGAAGAGGGACGAGAGGGAAATGTAGGAGTATGGGTGAAAAGAGGGAAGGGAGGGTATGGGGATGGGCGTTGGGATGGGGGAGTGCGGGGAAGGGGGGGGCAGAGGGAGAGTAAGAGGGAGACGGAGCAGAGCGAGGAGAGGGAGGATAGGGAGAAAAGGGATGGGCAGGAGAAAGATGCAAGGGAAGGGTCGGGGTATGGGGCTGCGTCGCTCTACGCAGAGATGGCCGGCTCCTGCTTCCATTATTGGGACAGCGGGTTACTGACAGCAGCGCCAAGCAGAGCAGCACGGGAGACACCTGCTAGCCGACGGGCCTGGACGTTGATCGCTGAACCGGAACAACGTCTCTGGTGGGAAACCAAATCTGGGCGAGTTCCTCAATCTCTGGAGGCAGTTCTTTCCGCGAGAGCAAGCCACTTCGGAGGATCCCACAGCTTTGCTACATGGCTGAACACTGGGAGACCGAACAAATTATAAGCTGCCAAGCTGTACGTGAGCCCACCCCGCAGCTGCTTGACCTGAAGCACATGCTTGTTTAAGGTGTTCATGAGTCGCTTCCAAGATGCCTCTGCGCCGAGACCATGAAGCTCCTGGACTACGGCCAGGCGGAAGTCTGGGTTCGGGATCACAAGGACGCACTTGGCCTTATTCAAAACCAAGCCCGCAATGCGGCCAGCACACGCCAGGAGGCTGGATGCGAGGGAGGCTGAGAAAGAGGTCCTGGCACGCAATCCCAATGTCGTCTGCAAACGCACCCAGAACGATCGAGAGCTCGGAACAGCGAATTGCCCCGATACCCGGAGGAGGTAGAGGTGGTGAAGGATGAGGAGGAGGAGGAGGAGGAGGAGCAGCAGCAACTGCAGCATTACGGGGAGTAGGCAGAGGAGGAGGAGGAAGATGAGGAGGAGGAGGAGGATGAGGAGGGCGAAGAAGAGGAGGACGAGGAGGATGAGGGGGGAAGAAGCGGAAGAAGAAGGGGAGGGAGGATGAGGAGGAGGAGCAGGAGGAGGAGGAGGAGGAGGAGGAGGAGGAGGGGGAGGAGGAGCGGCCGATCTTCCTTGCAGCGGCGGCTTAGGCTGCGAACAGAAGTGGGCACAGGGAGGGAGGGAGGGAGCAAGAGAATAGGAATAGGAGGAGGAGGAGGAGGAGAAGGAGGAGAAGGAGGAGGGAGAGGAAGAGGAGAGAGAGAAAGAGGAAGAGAGAATAGGAGGAGGAGGAGGAGGAGAAGGAGGAGAAGGAGGAGGGAGAGGAAGAGGAGGAAGAAAGAGGAAGAGGATCGGTGTGCTGGTGCTTTCGGATCGCCAGCCTTTCTGCCGAGAAGGCTTGCAGAATGCCTCGGGGCCTGCCCCAGAATGTTATACTCTGGCCCCGAAGGCGGGATGATGCCCTCCGCTGAGGCATGAGACACCCCAACCCTTCTCGCCTTCACCCTCCTCCTCCTCCTCCTCAACTTCCTCCTGAACCTCCTCCTCCTCCTCCTCCCTCCTCCTCCCTCCTCCTCCTCCTCCTCCTCCTCCTCCTCCTCCTCCTCCTCCTCCCCACTCCGCCTCCTCTTCCTCCTCACCCTCGCCCTCCGCCTTTGGCTGCTTCCCCCCACATTCCCCATACTCCCTTATCCCTCTCCTACCCCTCCTGTCCCACCCCCTCATCGTCCTCGTCCTCCTCCACCTCCCCCTCGTCCTCACGATCCGCCTGCTCCTCCTGATCCGCGGCTGCCACTGCGCCTCCTGCCCTCCCCTCCCTTTCGTGCTCCTCGTCCCCCTGCCGCCGCTGCTCCTCCCCCCTCGAGCTGCCCCTCCCCCCTGGAGCGAGCGCCACGTCCGACGAACGTCCGGCGCGAGCGACCACTGAGTCGGAGCGCTCCGCAGAGCACCAGCAGACCTTCAAGGCGACGCGAGGAGGCGAGCTGCGCCTGCTTCGTCTTCTGAGTGTGCGTAGCACAGGGTAGACAACCTCCTGCAGTTAAGACGCAGCCAAGACGAGTATAAGTCCGGGTGAGGATAAATCGAGAATCTCTGAGATCTGGCGGCTCTGGAGGATGTCTCGGGTGCCGCGGCCTTCTCAGAGCGTTCCAGAACGTTCTGAGAGCGTTCTGGAACGCTCTGGAACGGATTGATTATCGTACTAGCCCCGGCCGACTTCGTCTCCTGCGTGTGCGTAGTACAGGTTAGACAACCTCCTGTATTGCCTCCGAACGGCCCCTGGTGGCGGTCCGAAAGGCGCTCCGCAATCAAGATCGAGGCAGAAGGCTCGCAGCTTCTCCAGCGAAGCTGCCCGACGGGCCCAGCAACAAAATGTTTTCCCTCTCCTGGGGCCGGCCAACACGTGGGACCCGTTCTTATGCCTCCTGTCCCCCCGGGGACTCCCCACTGGGATTCTTTCTCACGGTGCGCCTCTGCGCCACCCCCGCGCCAGACCCCCGCCAGCGCGCACATGTCCAATCGCGATGCGAGGCGTGAGACCCCGCCCGCGCGAGCCGTGCACGTCGCGCGGCGATGCGCCACCCCAGTCGCGGAGCGAGACCCCCCCCCCCAATCGCGGGGCGAGGCCCCCCGCGGATACGACGCAGGACGCCTACCCCCCTTGAAGGGGGCCGCGCGGGGGTAGGGTCCGGAAGCACGCTCACGCCGACTCCAGGCGAGGCAAGGCCGGGATCCGGGCGGCAGGAGCGCACACTGGAGCACCCCACCCCCCAGAACCCTTATGAGGGGGTGGGATACGAGCGAGCGCGTTGACTACCAGAGTACTCCTCCTCCTTCTCCTCCTCCTCCTCCTCCTCCTCCTCCTCCTCCTCCTCCTCCTCCTCCTCCTCCCCCCCCTCTCCCGCCCTCCTCCTCCTCCTCCTCCTCCTCCTCCTCCCCCTCCCCCTCCCCCTCCTCCTCCTCCTCGCCATCACCACCATCCTGCCCTTGCCGCCCTGTACAGAGCCCACCGCCCAGCAGGCCCCCTGCCGGGCCGCGGCGTCGCAACATATGGGGCACGTCAGGTCGCCGTCTCGCCTCTGGCCGTGGCAGGGGGGTGGAGGAGAATGAGGAGAAGGAAGAAGGATAATAACAATACTAAGAAGAATAATCAGAAACATAATAAACAGAAAAGAAGGAGAAGGAGAAGAAGAAAAAGAGGGGGGAGGAGGAGGATAAGAAGGAGGAGGAGGAGGAGCGCACGTCCTCTTGCAGGCCGTGAGACACCGACTGACGAGAGCCGCATGGCGGATTGAAAGATGGAGGGCATAATCAGCGAGCAAATGAGGCGACTGCACGAGTTCGATTTGTAGTTCTTGGAATACCGAATCGGCATCACGACTGCATGAGCTGCATTCGCGGATAAATCAACGTCACGGAAGGAGGAGGAGGAGGAGGAGGAGGAGGAGGAGGAGGAGGAGGACCACGAGGCCGTTCGAGCTAGCACAGCAGCAGGCGCTCCGCTCACGAACCTGTGTGCGTCGGAGAAGCCCCACCCCCCGACCGCGACTCGATTTTCCCGCGCCCAGGGCCCGCGGAACCTGCCTGGCACAGGCGAATACTCGCTCACAGATCTCGGTACGGCACTCTCCTGCGTCAGGCCACTGCCAGGCGTGCTTGATGTACCCATCACAGTGCGCAGCAGGTACTTTTTCAGCAAGGATGTGTCTCAAGAACCAGAGTGCAAGTGCCCGAGCGGAAGCAGCTCGGTGCCGATTGCGAAGTGGAACAGCAAGTGTGGCAAGCACTTCAGCCAGAGGCTCGGCATCACATGGCTTCATCGCCCGAGAAGCCAGGGAGCTGGTCCCAGGGCTCCATGGCAGGCACAGGCGCATCAGCCCTCAAAGGCCGCGATGCAGGAGGTTGCTCTCGTTGGTGCGCCCCGTCACGTTCAGGAGGCGGAGAAGCATTCGAGATGGAAGGAGCCGAAAGGCGAGGAGAGCCAGCATGCAGCATATCGCACGACCGTGCGTCACAAGATGGAAGCCTCGGCGGCATTTGCGATCGCATCAGCAGCAACTGGCATGGGAGACGAGGAAGCGTGATACGGGACTCGTCTCGACGACACGGCCCGCCAAGCTAACCGAGGAAGAGGGCATGGCCGCGAGTGAGGCCGAGGAGATCACGACGCAGCTCGTCCAGCTCGAGCGCGAGGTCGAGGACGCCGCCCATAACGCCACCGTGCAGGCGGCACCCGGGAGGCCACCCGCCTCCGCCACCGCCGCATGCTCTGCCAGGAGTCCTTCATGCTCGAGCATCGCTTAACCGATCCTTATCCCTACTGGCGTAGCCTGGGCCCCACTGGCCGACTTACCCACCCAGGTGGGGATACTGCCAGGAATTGTTGCGCAGCGTGTCGCGGCTGCGGCCCCGGCGACACGCTATGCCCTGCGCGCTGATGGCGTGTCGCTCCGCTCCGCGGGGCGGGGGGCTGGCAGCAGATCGGGGCGTGGACGCTTGGCAGTGGGCAAGTGGATAGCGTGTCGCGCCAAAGCGCGATGAGCCAAAACCGGCGGAGCGGCTCGCGGAGCCAAAGCTCCTGACCGCGGCTCCGTGCGGCTTTCGCGGGGCCCCTCCCCACCCGGGTGCGAGTCTGGTGGGGCTGAAGCACCGTGGCCTGGTGGGGGCGGAGATCGGCCAGAGGACGCTGCGTACTTGCCGCCGCGGCAGGGGTGGCCGCAGCAGCAGCAGCAGCAGCAGCAGCAGCAGCAGCAGCAGCAGCAGCAGCAGCCTCGGCAGGCCCAGGCGCCATGGTGTGGGCACAGCCCCCCCAGCGCTCGTGCATGCCTCGAGGTCTTGGCGGCAAAGGGCACGGGCAAGAGCTGGCAGTCGGGGAAGCCGCGCGTCCCGGGAGGCAGTGGGAGGTGCGGTGTCAGCACCGCCGCAGCGTGCGCCGACGGCGCGCTCGAGCCCGGCGCTTCAGGCCCAGTTCGGCACGATGAGGAAGCGAATGGAGCTGATCAGCAGGAGAATGGTACGACCCATGACTGGCGTTTCCGGCATGATGGACGCCAAGACCAAGCATGCAGTGCAGGCTCCAGCGCCGCCTTCGCCATCGCCAGCACCAGCGCATGCGCCTACGACGGAAGGCATGGCAGCAGCAGCGGCAGTGTTGGCGGGGGTTCGCCAGGTTCCAAACCCGACGCCAGCCACAGGGAGACCGAATGCTGCAGTCTTGGCAGAAGTCGGATTGGGTGGCGCGGGCCTCTTCAGCGAAGGAGAGGTCGCCAGCGGAAGCGAACACAGCGTCGACAGTGACGGCACCAGGAGCTGGACCGCACGTGGTTGACTTGGCTCAGAGTTTCGCAGGCGGCGCACATACTGTTTGGTGGTACGCTGACGCCCATGACGTCGAAATAACTCGTGTGCAGCGAAGACATGGAGGAAATCCCTGGGCCACCTGTCAAGGTGGATGGCTACGTAGACAAGTACGGGGGCAGGACTCAATATTCCCGAGCTTGGCAGCGCGGGCATCGCCAGGAGAGAGTTCGATCTTGAAGTTCCAGGCGCAGGAAGAAGTGACTTGCAGTGATTGCCATCGTGCGTGGCCCTGCTGTTGCAATGTTGTCCGCCAGGGAGTCCCCGATGGTGGGTAGAAGGTGCGCATCGGCAGCCAAAAATGTGGGAGGTTCTGCTGACGTCGGCAGAAGTTGGGGCCGCCCGGGCTCTGCTGCATCACCACCGCCTCCTCTTGAGGCGTCGGGATGTCCTCGACCATTGCGTGGCGACGAGGGTACCCCTCCCCCCCGCGTGGATTGGACGACCCCGATTCGGTGTATGTTGGCCCCGAATTCGACCTCACGTTTATTACTCCCCATGCCTGGGCTACCCGTCGGGCTAAGCACAACCTTGAACTGAATCCGGCTAGAACCTTAGCTGTAGGCCGTGTGTGTGTGCCAGGCATGTCACAAGCAGTGTCACTCGAATCTGCGCGGGCTCAATGACCTCAGACGCGGGGTCCCAGTTTTGCATGACAGTCTTGAGCTCTTCGCCTGCTGGCCCAGAACGGATTACACAGCAGCGTCAGGGGAGCGTCCAGTGTGAAGCGATTTTAGCTTCGCAAGGATTCTACCCTGAGCAGGCCGAGGAAAAAGTGTTCAGATGTATCGGTCAGATGTCAAAAGGAACGACAGGTCACGAAAGTTGTTTCCTGCGGCGCGTGCTGCAGAATAGTTTCGAACAGCGTAGGTGCACGATGCAGTCTTCATCCCAGTTCCACCGCCCGAGGCGAACGGTGCCTTTGAACATGTGTTCTGTCCAGAGGCGAGGTGGCGACGTTCCAGGGTACGTCGATGCTGCAGCTGAAAGATCAGGCATTGCTCTCGTGGTGCTCAGCATCGAAGAAACCAATTCCAGCGGCACGCTCAGGTGTGCAAGCTTTGCTAGCGCTGACAGTCCAACGCCATCAATGCGAAACCTTCAGCCGAGCACGCTGGAGGCCTGAACTGAGGAAAGTAATGTACCCACATAAAATCCAGACCTACGGGCGATGTCCTCCAGGAGCGGCCATGAATGGGACCAACTGGGGCACTCGAATGCGCTGTTGCGAAATGCACCTCATTTTTCCTTAGCATGTTCAGCAGCAGGTGCAAAGGTAAGATGGGACATCCGCAGTGCCCAAAAGTGCTGCATTTCCAAATCAGCTTGGAAATTCCAGAAACGTGTCACATTAATACCCTCCCAGGAGCTCTGAATATTGCTTTGGTCAATGTGAGCTTGCTGCATTCAGTGCAAAGCCTATTACACGATTGACTATCATAATGCGCCAGACCTGGGGGAGGTATTGAGGAGGCCCCAAAAAGTTGAAGGTGCACTCGCCCGTTCGGGCATCAGGGAGGGCCCTTGATGAGCTCGACTCTGCAAGTAGGTACCAGACGGCTGCTGTCAAACTGTATCCCCCAGGCATGTGCCGTATCATAGCAGAGTGTAATGCAAGGCGTGCCGTCCACCAGCTGCAGCCGCGCCCAATCGTATGAGCAGGTAGCCGGAGGACCCCAGCAGATATACTCCCCGATGGACCCACACCCTTCAGGCACCACTGGGGTGAGTTGGCGCACGAGCAGGCAAGGCAACCCCAGGTGTGCTGACCACGCCAGCTCGTCTCCCTCCCCTGCTATGTTAATGTCCCCGACCCCCCTAGCCTCAAACCATCGAATGCTTCTTGTTTGCATGACAGTCCAAGGCGGTTGTTGTGACCTCATCGGGAAAAGGACCATGAGGCGGACGCGGGATGAGGCCTGTGCCTCCCACACAGCCAGTCCTCTGCCCTTGGCATCGACTGAAGAAATGGGAATGGCAACAAAGACTTCCAACCGACTTGACGACTGCACTGCATCCATACTGTCGCGCACTTAACGGGGTAGAACCAGCTCCCAATCTCGAACCGCTCCCTCTAGCACCAGGACCCCGCTACCACTACTCCTCCACCTCTTCCTTCTCCTCGCCCTCCCTCCTCCCCCCCCCCCTCCCCCTACCTGACCCCCCTTCTTTCTCCTCCTCCTCCTCCTCATCCTCCTCTCCTCCTCCTCCTGCTGCTCTTCCTCGTCCTCCTCCCCTCCTCCTCCTCCTCCTCCTCCTCCTCCTCCTCCTCCTCCTCCTCCTCCTCCTCCTCCTCCTCTCCTCCTATCATCATCATCATCATCATCATCATCATCATCATCATCATCATCATCATCATCATCATCATCATCATCATCATCATCATCATCATCATCATCATCATCATCATCATCATCATCATCATCATCATCATCCTGCTCCTAGTCCTTCACCTCCTAGTCCAGCTCCTCGTGTTGCCATCTCCACCTCCTCCTCCTCCTCCACTGGGAGCCGGCGGTAAACCGTCAACCGTGGTTACCGCCGGGAACTCGTAGAGCTTCCTCGTGCAATGCGAGCGCGGCAATCTCGCATTGCGCGCGCGAGGGCGGGGTCTCATGGAAGAGGTCGCGAAGGAGAAGAAGCAGTGAGAAAGAAGCATCTCTGGAAAAAACAGACATACCAAACCCAGTTGAGGCGTCTGGACACTTTCAGCTAGCGCGTCTGTTGATGTCCTTCCGATTGCTGCGCCGAACAGGCTAAAGGGAACTATCACCATCTCCAAAGGATTAGCAGAGTATGAATAATTGTTCGGCCCCAGCGCTGATATCAGACCGAATTCAGGCGTCTGAATACTTTAGACTAGCACGCCTGAGCATTTCCTTCCAATTGCTGTGCCAAACAGCTCTGTAGCTCATCCGCAGCTCGAGCTAAGAGAAGGAAACCAATACCATCACTCAAGAATTAGCAGAATACGAATAGTTTTTCGGTTCTAGCGTTGATAGCAGACCGAGTTTAGGCGTCTGGATACGTTGAACTAGCGCGTCTGATGGTTTTTGTCTGATTGCGCTGCTTAACAGCTCTGTTGCTCATCTGCAGCTCGAGTTAAGTCCAGAAAACCATCCCAAAGAATTAGCAGAGTATGAATAGTTTGGCCCCAGCGCTGATAGCAGACCGAGTCCCGGCGTCTGAACACATTGAACTAGCGCGCCTCAGTATGTCCTTCCAATTGCTGTGCCGAACAGCTCTGTAGCTCATTTGCAGCTCGAGTTAATTCAAGAAAACCATCATGATTCAGAAAAAATAGCAGAGTACGAATAGTGGTTTGGTTCCAGCGCTAATACCGTACCGAGTTCAGGCGTCTAGATACCTCAGACTATCGCGCCCGATGATTTACTTCCGATTGCTGTGGCGAAGAGCTCTGTAGCTCGTCTGTAGCTCGAGTTAAGTGAAGAAACGCATCATCATCTCAAAAAAATATAGCCCGAATAGCTTCGCGGACCTAGCTCGAGTAGCAGACCGAGTTCAGACCTCTAGATGCTGGGAACGAACGCGCCTGATGATTCTGGATCGATTAGGTGTTCATACCAGCTCTGTAGCGCTCCTACAAGTCGAGTTAAGTATAGAAAAACCGACAGCATCTCCCAAGATGACCCGAACAGCCGATCCCACCTGGATGCTTTTTGGCAGTAACGGGTACCCGATCGAGCTGAGATTGAGACGGCGAGCGGGAATGAGATCGAAGATGGGGGCAAAAAATACTAGAGCTCTAACGACCTGTTGAATTTCGAGAAATCGAATTTACACCGAACAAAATTATGCAAAACATCCGTCGATATTGTTTTGCCAACTAGCCCCCCAGCGCGCCGGAATTACTCTTCTAGCTTCGCCGCTAACGCTCTCAGGGAAGCTCTACGAGTCACCTCCTCCTCCTCCTCCTCCTCCCCCTCCACCTCCTCCTCCTCCTCCTCCTCCACCCCCTCCTCCTCCCTCCTCCTCCTCCTCCTCCTCCTCCTCCTCCTCCTGCTCCTAGTCCTTCACCTCCTCATCCTCACATCTCCTCGCATGATCATAGTATGGTTTTTCCTGTAAGGGTCAACGCCGTTCTGCTGCATGTCCTCGCAGCAAAGCTGTGCACACGCGCTTCCTGCACGGCCGCAGGCAACCGCAGCAGCAAGGCACACGCACGGCAGCGGCGGAGAGTCCACGGCCGAGACGAGGTCGGACGGCTTGGGGGGGGGGGCGGAGCGGAGCGCGAGCACCCGAGGAAAGAAGAACAGGGGAGGAGGAGGTGGAGCGTGGCCTGAGAACGGGGGAGGAGGAGGAAGACGCGGACAACGACGACAACGACGACGACGACGACGACGACGACGACGACGACGACGACGACGACGCCGACGCCGACGCCGACGACGCCGACAACGGTGACGGCGACGGCGACGGTGACGGCGACGGCGACGGCGACGGCGATGGCGACGGCGACGGCGACGACAACGACTACGGCAACGATGAAAACAAGGTCGGGACACAGGAGGCTCCCGAGAAGCCCCCAAAGAGGGGCACGGGAGGGGGAGGCTCGAGCCGCGATGCTTGGAGCAGTGCCACAGGGGCGAGTCACCACCTGAGCCCCAAAGCCCCGAAACCGCACAACAACGTGTGTTGTATACATGTTCTCGGTACTCCACAACAAAAAGCTCCGCCCTCGATCTTCGGTTGTCCGAGCAGAGAGGCTGGCGAAGCCCCCTGGGGGTGACAACCCCTGGCTCCGGAGATTCGGAGGCCCTCCACCCCAAGACGGCCCCAGAGAGCCTGCCTGGCGGAGGCTGGGGACCGCTGGGCCACGAAGGCGCCCCGAGCCCCGTGGGAGACCCCGCCAACCCCGGGGAGGCGACCGCCAGGAGCGCGGTGACCACCGGGGACCCCGCACGGAAGAAATCTGGACATCAGATCTCTTCTCGGGGGGTCTTTGGGAGGCCGCATCATCCGCAGGCCTTTCGGGCGGGCTGGGGGGGCTCGCCCCCTGCCCTTGAAGAGCAAAAGGCGGCATCATCGTCACTACTCGACGCTGAGATTCCCAAATGGGCCTTGGCCTGTGGCGACCGAGCGCTCTCTGGCAGCTCCCCCTTGGAGATTCCAAGTGCTGTGCCTGCCAGATTGGGATGATCTTGGGACTCTGAAGAGAGAGGAGCCAGACGTGCCAGAACCAGCGGTTCCCTCGAGATGTCCACACGATCTGGCCGCGAACGGGCAAGTGTAACACCCCCTCGGCGGCTCCCCTGTGGGGTGACCACGTGTTATACCTCCCACGTCGCGGAGATACGCGTTTCAGCGTCTCCAACATTCTCACGGAAACCTAACAACGCTCAAACGAAAATGATGTCCAGCACGCCGAAGTAACAACGGTGAATATAACGCCATGGGCATACTAAGAAGAACCAAGGTTTTGCTGATTGGGCTCTCACTGGACACCTCATTGAACTGCACGGTCATTCCTTTCCACATTTTTCATTACTCGCTAGAGAAATTCCCGGCAGCTCCTTTCCATCACGGAACTCTCGCATGACCAGCAGGCCCGTAAGGCGTCTGTCACTAAAAGGGCGTTTTTGGTAATGAATTAGAAAGCCTTGCAAAGGACTTCCGAGGAAGGGACTTGGGACGGGAAGGTGTGTTGCAGCATCGTTGACGCATCCCGGATAAACTCTGGTCCTCCTGCTCCTCCTCCTCGTCCTCCTCCTCCTCCTGCTCATGATCCTTCACCTCCTCGTCCTCCTCCTATCTCCTCGCATGATCATACTCCTGTGCTTCCTGTTGGGGTCAACGCCGATGTGCTGCATGCCCTCGCAGCAAAGATGAGAACACGAGCTTCCTGCACGGCCGCAGGCAGCCGCAGCAGCAAGGCACACGCACGGCAGCTGCGGAGCGACCACGGTCGAGGCGAGGTCGGACGGGTTGGTCACTCCTCCTCCTCCCCCTCCTCCTCTTCCTCCTCCTCCTCTTCACCCCTCTTTCCCCCCTCCGCGCGCCTCTGCGCGGCCACGCTGCCCAGGCCCCCCGCTCGAGCGCCACCGCCCTCGCTGCCCGATGCGCTGGCTTGTCGCGCGGCAGCGGCGTCGCTGGCCTCCGACGGGGAGGCGGGTGCGAAGGTGGAGGAGAAGGAGGAGGAGGAGGAGGAGAAGGAGAAGCAGGATGAGGATGCGGAGCAGTACGAGGAGAAGGAGGAGGAGGAGGAGGAGCGCACAAAGCTTGACGGGCTCGCGTCAGCTACTCGGCGGGGCTCAGCAGCGCATGGTTGCGATGGGGGCCGGTCGAATTTGGCAATGATAGGTGGGCTTGACGGAACGACGCCGCAACGCCAGGTCAACTTTCAGCTTATGGTAGGCATAGAAGCTCAGCGCGACTAATGTGTGGCATCTCTGTCGCGGGCATTCGGGCTCTGAGTCAGGGACAGTTCCTGGACGAAGTCCTACCGACGCTTCCTCAGACCGCTTATGGGCATTCAAAGTTTAGGGGCAAGATGAATGGAAGGAAGAGGCATGCGAGCATGGTGGAATGGGAAAGAAAAGGAGAAGGCGACGTGAGGAGGGGAGAAAATCCCCCACCCCGCTCGTGCGCGGAGAGAAGGGCAGAAGCAGGCGGACGGCGACAGACGCGCAGGTGGGAGTTCCGAAACCTGGGAGCCCACTGTCGAGCCCACTTTGGGGCTCTCTAGCAGCCAGGGAGCCCGGATGCCCGCACAAATGCAACCTGTTCGCTAGGCCTGGGAGCCCGGACACCTCGGATCGCACAAACCCTATATTCACAGAAACGTGGTACTCGCGTCCACGAACATCAGGATGTTACGAACAGGTCTTCCAGTTGGGGCGCCCAGCGAGGCACGAGGCATGCGAGGAGGGGGCTCCCATGGGCAGGTGGGCGCTTCTGGGCGGGCGGGTCCATGGGCGCCGCGGCTGGGGCCAACATGTGGAGCACACGGAGCGCGAGGGTGCACAAAAACGAACCACACGCCTCCAACAGGGATGGTGTGATCCTTGGAAAACTCGATGTTCCCTAGTGTGCACGGCGCAGATCGACCTCGACTGTTCTGTACAGAAGGAAAGCTCTGACTTGCCACAAACGCCGAGGAAAAAGCTTGGACCGCCACATCCCATGCGGGGGAGCACAGCTTTCGAAGCAATGTCGTCCAACCTTCCCTGCGAACCACCCGCTCTGGAACTATTCAATAGTTTACAGGGCTTCGATGGCCGTAAGGCGCACGACATCCTATCAAAAGTGGTTCACCGCGCGGGAGCTGGCGACACTGACCATTTGTTTGCACCGGCCCTTCCCCGGTATGAGACGTGATCTGCTGTCGAATGGAGGTGCATGCTTTACCTCCTCACGCTGTCAACACCCCGCCCACTTCGTGCACGTTCCACCCGCTTCGGGGGATCCGTGTCACCACCAGCTCCAGGGCTGCTCCTTGACGTGCCACCCCTGTTCGGGCACATCTCCCTCCGGTCCTCCAGCAAAGGGCGTTATCGCATCCAGCCCGTCGGGGTTGGGTGGTTAGCAACTTAGTTTTTCCAACCTCCTGCTTCCCTCTGGGGGAGAGGTTTACCTGCACCCCTACATCCTCTCCCTGGGTCGCTGGGTTTGGAGGGGGCGTTCCGCGAGGCGCTTGAGCGTCGAAGATTGTCGAAAATGGCCCCAGATAGCCCAAGATGGTTTCCACGATAGCACAAAATACTTCAAGATGGCGCTCCACTCCTTGCATCCTCCTCCTCCTTCTCCTCATCATCATCATCATCATCATCCTCCTCCAACTGCTCCTCCTCCTCCTCCTCCTCCTCCTCCTCCTCCTCCTCCTCCTCCTCCTCCTCCTCCTCCTCTTCCTCCTCATCCCCCCTCCCCCTCAAGGAGGAGCAGCAGCGCAGCAGCAGTAGCAGAAGTTAGAAGGAGGCGCGGCCGCAGGTCGATATGCGGCGGCGGGAGGCGGCGGCTGGAGACAAGCCGAGGCCTCGTCGTCGTCGCGGGGATCACGCCAAGTCAGCGGCCTTGCGAGAGGGGAGGACGGGAACCGGGGGGAAGGAGGATGAGGAGGAGATGGGAGGAGGACGGGAGTAAACCAAATGTGCGGTAACGAAGCCGCAGTACACCCTTCCGTCCTAGGTTCCTCCACAGTTGTCACTACAGAATACCCTCACTGTGAGAAGCGCCCCCGTCGAAGAACGAGCGCCCACCATGCGCCCACAAATCCAGCGGGAGCTCCACTTTGAAGGAGACCACCTGGCCCTGGAGCTATCAGGAATGCGGCAAGATCTGGCTTCCAAAATGAGGGAGGGACCCCGCGGCAACCCCGCTGTGAAACCGGCATGCGTACAGTGTGGCTGCTGCACAGATGTGAAACTTCTGGCCTGCAGAAATTGAACTAGGTCTCAGGTGAGAGCCCCATGTTGACAAGGAGCCGCCCTCCATCTGTGAATTGATTGTACCATTGTACGCGTGTGGCGATGCACGCTGAAGAAAACTGAAGCGAGAACCCCATGTTGAAAATGAACTGGCCTCCATCTCTGTAGCTGCTGGAAGCCCGTAAGACGAATGCGCACGGCGCCAAGGCGACAACCACATCTGTCCTCCAATGTGGACTGGCCCTACACCCGCGTAATGGATGGGAGTTTTGAAGACGAATGGGTGCGGCGCCAAGGCGACAGCCACATATGAAAAAACACCAGCCCTCCATCCGTGTAACTGCTGGAACTGTTTGGAACAAGCGTGCGCGCGCTAGAGCTAGAGCCACAGTTCGAAAACTCCAAGCCCCAGTCAGTGTAAATGTTGGCAGGTTTAGAAACGAATGTGCGCGGCGGTAAATGCGACAGCCACAGCTTGAAAAGCACTGGCCCTCCACTCGTGCAATTGTGGGTAATCCTACGCTTCGGCAAACGAAATCGCACGCGGATCTCAAGCGAAACGCCTGGCCCCGGCTACGGAAACGTCTGGTGGTGCGACAGAGAGAAGTTATGTATGATGGAAGTGGCGGAGGAGGAGGACGAGGAGGGGACGGAAGAGGAAGAGGAGGCGGAAGAGGAGGAAGCGCGGGCCCGAGCGCGAACCGGCCCGCCGAGCCCTCGACGCAGAGGCGGGTCGGTCCGAGCAGGGCCACACTTAGGCGGGCGCAGCGACATGGCCGCCCGCGTCGCCAGATGGCACGACCGCGAGTCCGTGCGCTACCCGCCAAGACGGTCCGCGAGACGCACACCAGCCGGAGACGGCCGAAACTTGCCCACGATGCGGGAGAGTTTCGACGGGCTGCTGCGCGCTGGTTGGCGCGCACCGTGCCCGAGGGGGGGCAGGCTTACCCCAAAGGCATCGCCACCATCCTGTCCTGCCCCAGCTACGGCCACAACCATCGGTGCCACAACCGACCGCGCGACCGGGGCGACAAAACCGAGGACAGCAAGGACGCCAAGAAGAACGGAGACGAGCAGAGGAAGGGGCCCATCCTCAACTAGGATGCCGCCGAGTTCGTGCCCGGGGCCCTCAATCTTGACATCATCTCCGCCTTTATCCTGGCCAGGGGCGTCGCCACCCCCAGCGTGTCATAAATCGTCCTCTCGCCTAATCCGAGCCTCGGCCCGCTGACATGTTCCAGAGATCTGCAGGCCTAGACCCTCGCAACAAGAGTAACAGCTCTTGCACTGGATCGAAGCGTGTCGGCCTGGTTGCAATTGAGCCATACACACAAATGATGCGCGAGTGTTCTGCTCATCTTCGCCCCCCACGCTCCTCTGCATGCTCCTCCTGAGCAGCATTACTGTGCCATCGCCATCGTCGCCGACATCAGCCCCACTCGTCCTAACTAACCTCCTCGTCCTGCTCCATCTCCTAACTCGTCCAGATCCCTTCTGACAGAAGATCCCTCCCCCCCGAAAACAACCCTGTCAGCGACTGCCACGTCAGGGGTGAGTCGCCCCACATCAAGGGTGAATCGCCTAACGTCCAGGATTGGAGAAACAACAGGAAATATCGATGACGCTACTGCGTGGATCTCTCCCATGGTGTGCTCTGACCAGAAGAACACCAAGGCGAATCCAGCCGTGGCGACAACGGAGGGTTAGCGGCATCGGTATAACATCGACAGTTCTTTAATACACACCCCCACCAGACATGGGAAAATACTGGTTTTCTGCGAGGGCTCATTGAAGGATTGGGACCCCAACATTACTGTGAAACTAAATACTCCCCCGCGGAGGCCATTGCTGAACAGGAGACGCCCATTGCGTAAGGAGAACGAGGGAAAGGATGAGGATGGGAAGGAAGAGGGGAAGGATGTTTTACTGCCAGCCGAGAGATTAGAGGGGGGGGGCCAGTTAGCATTAAAGACCCTCTGCTGTTACCTTCCTCCTCTGACATCAAGGATGAGTCGCCCCTCGTCACGGACAGGTCGCCCTCTCTCTCTCTCTCTCTCTCCTTCTCTCTCTCTCTCTCTCTTTCTCTCTCTCTCTCTCTTCCGATAGGACGTGGCAACGGCGAGTTGGCGTTGCCCTCCTCTGCCTGCATACTCCTCATGAGCATTGCGGCCATCATCGCCATCGTCGCCGCTATCAGCCCCACTCAGCCTAACTAATCTCATCCACCTCATCCTGATGAACCTCCTCCTCTTCCTCTCACGTGGCCTGGCGCACCACATTCATGTGTCATCGCCTAGCATTTCCACGACCACCTGACCTGCCGTCTGACGGTCGGGATCGTAAGCTCGGCACGCTATTTGAAAACGGTACCCCAATGTTGAGGCATCTCCTCCACCTCCTCCTCCGCCTCCTCCGCTCCTCCTCCTTCCCCATGTCCTTATTAATCCAGCTCTCTTCCGACTGGAGATTGCAACGGTAAGTTGGCACTGCCCCGCAGCCTTCCCCTCGAGTCCGCTCGTGGAACAGCATCGAGCGTCTCGCGGTCGAAGCCGCCGGGCTCCCAGGGGCTGGGGCCGTTGGCCAGGCTTCTCATTCTCCTCATCATCATCATCCTTCTCATTCCCCGCCTCCTCCTCAATCTGCTCCGCAGCATCCTCATCATCATCAACCTCATCGTCATCATCAACAGCAACAACATCAACAGGAACAAACACAACAACAACAACAACAACAACAACAACAACAACAACAACAACAACAACAACAACAACAACAACAACGACGACGACGACGACGACGACGACGACGACAACAACAACAACAAAAACAACAAAACCTACGACGACGACGACGACGACAACAACCACAACAACTAACAAAAACAACCAACACCACCACAACAACAACAAACACGGCATGGTGCGCATCAGCATCATCATCGTCAGCATCATCATCAGCATCATCATCCTCATCAACAGCAGCATTATCGTCGTCGCCGTGTTCGGCATCATCGTCATCATCATCATCATCATCATCATCAGCAGCAGCAGCAGCATCAACACCATCAGCGGCAGAAGCAGCACAATCGTCTTCATCAACCGCCTGGGCATCATCATCACAACCATCCTCATCACCCATCAACCATCAGCAAACAACAATCAACATCAACACTATCAACACCGTCTTATCTAACATATCATCACCATGACCAGCACCATGATCACCATCATCGGCAGCACCAGCATCATCATAATCGTCACCACCATCATCAAAAAACAATGGCATCCGAAGCAGCAGCAGCATCGTCATTATAACCATTACTGACATCAACAGGTTCACCAGCATCAGCATCAGCATCAGCATCATCGTCATAGCCATCATCATCACAATCACCTTCATCATGACCAACCACCAAGCACCATCACCCACCATCATAAGAATCAGCATACTCAGCATCACTACCGACTACAATAACATAAGCATCAGCAGCAGCAGCATCATCATCAGCATCATCGTCATCGTCATTGTCATCGTCATCACCATCATCATCATCATCATCATCATCATCATCATTATCAGCAGTATCATCATCATGAGCAGCAGCATCCCCATCCCCATCACCGTCACCCTCACCATCACCATCACCATCACCACCCTCACCACAAACACATCAATATCTGCATCGCCGCAATCATCATCATCATCATCATCATCATCAGCAGCAGCAGCAGCATCAGAATCGTAGCAGCAGCATCAGAATCGTCATCAGCCGCAACAGCAGCGAAACCATCATCATCACCATCATCATCGTCATCATCGCTAGCAGAAGTATCATCACCATCGTCATCCCCGTCCGCATCATCATCCTCATCCTCATCCCTAGCCTCCTATTCGTCGACGTCCTTCTCCTCCTGCTACTGAGCACGACGACTGGGAGCAGCAGTCATCCCCCTAATCCTTCACCTCCGCAAGAAGTAGTCCTCTGGAGGCCTTTGGGAGGTCCGAGGAGGACCAAGCACATGCAAGAGCAAGTTGGTCGTCGACCCTCGATCACCCGATCCCCGCAGCCTGCTCCTCCTCATCTGGACCGGGCCCACAGGCCTGACCCACAAGATCCGTCCGCAGCGACTGGGCGGCGCCGCGCCAAGCCAGAAAAGGCTCCAGCGAGCAGAAGGAGGACAGGAAGAGGAAAGGAGGTGGAGGAGGGGACAAAGGATGCGAGGAGGGAAGAGAAGAGAGAAGAGCAATGCAAGACGACAACGGTTGGAAACCGTGGGTCGGCAGTGACAAACAAGCAAGCAGACAGACAGACAGGCAGAGGATGCACCGTCTGTTGCGCAGTGTGCGCCTACCAGCGGCAGCCGCGGACAGGACGGCCTCCTGTGGCACACAGCGGGACGGTTCAAGGGGAAACCAGGCCGCCCGCTGCGGGCCACATGCGCGCGCCCCCGCGCGCACCCCGGCATCCCCAGGATCACCAATCGCCCACTCGAGCCGCGCATCTGCACGACAGGGGTCCGTGCAGCACTGCGCCGACTGGGAGTTGCGCACCACTCCCGACGGGAAACTGCACCCACGGCCAAGCACTGCCAACAAGTTGCGGGTGGATGGGTCGAATGCTGGCTCGGCCGTCACTGTCGACGATTACAAGATGGTCACAATTCAACTACCCAGATCACAGAGCACCAAAAACACCAATGTGCTGCAAACGCAAAAAAAGGTTTTGTCAACCAAGCTGCGGGTGGGGTGTGAGATTTGAACGAGCAGTGGGGCTGACAATACACGAGGGGCACACTTGACTACACTGCATAGATTGCACAACAAGGAGACCACCACAAAAGCAGCAGCACGCAGATTGCGCCACAGAGTGCAAACCTGAAATTGCACAGCAGATGTGGCACCCTACAGCTTCCACAAAATAGCTATAACCAAATAGATTGCGCAGAATAGCTAGCAGCAAATGCATACGACCATATGTATGTACACACACACATTTGCTCAGGTGGAGCACAAGAGGCCACGAAATCAGCGACGGTGGCATTGGGATGGCAACAATAATACCAACGAGACTGCACTAACGATGTTGATGACGACGGCGATGAAGGCCATGGCCTTCAAGTCGATTGGAACGACGTATCAAATTCATACCCCGACGCACCCCCTGACAGTCTACTCCTCTCCCTTCGCACGCACTGCGACAAACCCGCTGGCACCCCTGCTGCATAACTTTCCCATCGCGCGAACACGTTCATTATACCGCTGACGGTAGCGGGAAATCTGGATCCTCGTATGGGGTCACAAACGCGAGTTTGGGTTGAGGGGCTAGTTGAAACCAGGGGGTGGTGATCAAGGGGGGCATTCGTGAGCCTATATAGCAAGTCCGTGCCTCCGCACTCGCGCCCGCCAACACGGAGCCTCCCGAGCACCGCGACGAGGGGGAACGCCGCGAGCAAGGAGGCTTGAAGAAGGTGGACGCGAGCTTCGTCCCTCATCCTCCTCCTTTTCCTCCTCCTATTCCTCATCCTTCTCCTCGTCCTCCTCCTCCTCCTCCTCCTCCTCCTCCTCCTCCTCCTCCTCCTCCTCCTCCTCCTCCTCCTCCTCCCCCTCGCCGTCCTCATCCTCCTCCCCATCCTCGCTTTCCTGCTCCTCCACCTCCTCCTCGGGGGCAGACTCCCCCTCCTCCTTCTCATTCTCCTCCTCATCCTCCTCATGCCCCTCCCCCTGTTGAACCAGTTGAACGCAGCCACAGCCTCCCGCGTCAGAGATCACAAGAAAGGGCAAAAGAGCAAAGCAGCACGAAATCCCGATTCGCACCCGAATTGTTGCGCCCGAGCCTCATCCTCCTCCTCCTCCTCCTCCTCCTCCTCACATCATCATCATCATCATCATCATCATCATCATCATCATCATCATCATCATCATCATCATCATCATCATCATCATCATCCTCATCCTCATCATCCTCATCATCATCATCATCATCATCATCATCATCATCATCATCATCATCATCATCAGCAGCAGCAGCATCATCATCATCCTCTTCCTCCTCCTTCACCTTCGCCTTCCTATTCCTCCTCCTCCTCCGCCCTCTCCTCCTCCTCCTCCTCCTCCTCCTCCTCCGCCTCCTCCTCCTCCTCCTCCTCCTCTTCCTCCTCGTCCTCGTCCTCCTCGGGGGCCGTCGGCGGTCACGCTAACAAGCCGCTCGGGATATCCAGAAGTGGTTATTATGTTCCTCCTCGCTGCAGCATTCGCACGGCCGCAGCACGTGGTAGCCCAGCGCGGCGCCGCAACGGCAGCGAAAGCCCCGGACCTGCGGGAACCACACAACAGCAGCAGCAGCAGCAGCAGCCATCATCATCATCATCATCATCATCATCAGCAGCATCAGCATCAGCATCAGCATCAGCATCAGCATCATCATCATCGTCATCATCATCATCGTCGTCATCGTCATCATCATCATCATCATCATCATCATCATCATCATCATCAGCAGCAGCATAATCATCATCATTATCATCATCATCATCATCGTCATCATCATCATCATCCTCATCATCATCATCATCAGTATCATCATCAGCAACATCATCAGAATCAGCAGCATCATCATCACCATCATCATCAGCATCATCATCGCCCTCATCAGCAGCATCAGCATCATCAGCATCATCAGCATCACCAGCATCAGCATCAGCATCATGATCAGCATCTTCATCAGCATCATCAGCATCATCATGACCATCATCAGAATCATCATCATGATAAGCATCAGTATCCGTATCTGAATCCTCGTCATCATCATCATCAGCAGCATCATCACCATTACCACCATAACCACAACCACCACATCCTTATTATCATCATCAGCAGCATCATCATTATCGTCATCGAAATCAGCATCATCCTCATCAGCATCATCCTCAGTATCAGCGTCATCCGCATCACCATCATCAGACTCATAACCACATCATGATCACCATAGTCATCACCACTACCATCATCACAATGATTACCATCAGCATCAGCAGCATGGTCATTGCCATCGCCATCGTCACATTAATAGTCACCGGCATCATCATCATCATCAGTAGCATGATCATCATCGTCGTCGCAATCGAAATCATCATCAGCATCGTCGTCACCATCACTATACCCGAAAATGCACGAGAACAACAACAAGGATACCAACAACCAAAACGACAAGGGCAACAACAGCAACATCAACAATAGAAACATTAACAACGACAACGGCAACAACAACAACAAAACCACTTCAAAAATAACAACAACCGCAGCAACAACAACAACCGCAACATCACCATGGTCAGCATCATCGACACCGTCGTCGTCATCATCACCATAATCATCATCGTCATCAACGTCATGATCTTCATCATCATTGTCACCATCATCAGCAGCATCATCATCGTCATCACCATCACCCTCACTATCACCATCGTCGTCATCATCAGCATGGTCGTAATCATCAGCAGCATCAGCATCTTCGGCATCTTCATCGTTATCATCATCAGCATCATCATATGCATAATCAGCATCGTCATCATCGGAATCATCACCAGAATCTGCATCATTACCACTATCATCATCGTCGTCGCCATCATCATCAGCAGCAGCATCATCCTCCTCATCAGCATCATCATCAACATCATCAGCATCACCGTCATGACCATCATCTGCGCCATCGTCGACGTCGTCATCATCATCATGCTCAGCATCATCGTCATCATCACTTTTATCATCATCATCATTATCACCGTCGTCATCGTCATCGTCATCGTTATCGTCATCATCAGCAGCATCCTCATCCGCATCATCGTCAATGACATCGGCATCGGCAACGGCATCCTTATCGCCATCGTAATCATCATCATTATCGTTAACACCTCCATCACCATCACCAGTACCATTGTCATCGTCATCAGCATCAGAATCATTATCAGCATCATTTTATTGACCTGCATGACCATGAGCCTCACCATTGGAATCCGCATCACCATCACCATCAAAATCATCGTCATCACCCGAATCATCCTCACCATCATCATCATTGTCGCCCCCTGCCCCCATCCCTGCCTCCTCCTATTCCTTCTGGCGCACCCGCCAGACGTGTCGGTAGTGGCGGCTGGGCGGCCGGGCGTTTCGCATCAGAATTCTTCACCGTTCGTGGAATTCACGAATGAAGGGCGGGCCGTTTTCACAATGTGGCACTCGCTTTAGCGCCGGGCCACTTCGTCTTAAGAGTGTGCAACATCCTCAAGGATGGAGGGCGGCTGGTTTTGAAGATGTGGTTCTACCTTGAGCCCACTTTGTCGCTCAGCAGGGACAGATCTGACGAAATTATGACGAAAGCCTTGCAACGTCTAGGCGTGAGGGTAAAGTGTGAAAAGAAAACGATTCTCACCCCTCTGGGGTGTGGAGGGTGGGAGCCGCAGACACGCTATTGACAGGAGAGACAGGAGAAGACGAGTGAGAGGGCGTGGGGGAAGAGAAAGACTGATGTTTCAGCTTTTGGATCTCTTGCAGGTGGTAATTCGTGCACAACACAAAGCTACAGCTTCTCATTTCAAACCGTTCAAAAACATATCGAGCCGATTTTTCACGCAGTTGGGACAGTTCTGACGAAATTCGGACGAAAGCCTCGCAACGTCTAGGCGCGAGGCGAAATTCTGAAAGAAAACGACTCTCACTCCTCCCAAATGCCCCGGAAACGAGAGTTCACTAGGGATGGGCAGGGTGGGCGCGTTTGCTGCACCCACAAGCAGGTACAGTAGAGGCCGTCAAGGCTCTAACCATAAAGTGCCCTAGTTCGGCGGGATTCGCTGCAGCTGGACGCGTGCGTGCGCTTCCCTCGAGCTGAAGGTGGGCACGTCCTGCGCGCGGGCAAGCACTTCGCCCTCCGCGGTACTTTCTGCTGAGGTTGGGCACGTCGTCTTTTACAACGTTACAGAACATCCATCGTGCTGGTTGTTTAGACTTAGTTCCAAACAAACATTGATCAAATTCGACGAGTGAACCGGTGGGCAGGCGAGCGAGCGATCGAGATGTGAGCGGGTGCTCAACAACAGCAGGAGTCCTGCGTTGCAGCAAAAGACTACAAACAGCGAGATGGCCGCGCGAGCAAGCTGCTTTCCTATCAGATTTCTTCGACATCGACTAAGGAGAGGAGCTCGCGGGGGGTCCCCAGGGCGCCTCGCTGGACCGAATTGTCGCAGTCCTAATGTCTGGCACGACGGCGCGAGCGACGCGGCCGCAATTCGCCCGCGGCGGCAGTCGGCCGCAATAGCGCCTGTAACCTTACGATCCAGCAAATTCTGTCCTACAGGATCATGGAGCACGTCCCAGCTGCGGGATCTGAAGCCCAGCGCCTCGGTGACTTCTGAGATACAGCGGCTTCCTGCAAACAAGTCGGCGACGCACCGCCCCAGCACCTCCGGGAAGCGCCGGGCCTTGAGGCGCCGAGTTTCAGCGGCCCCCGCGGCAGATGGGGCGGGGCCCACCCGGCCTGCGAGCTGGCGCAGCGGCGTTCGCCGTTCCAGGCTCAGGGCCACGCAGCGGGGCTGCACCAACGGAGCTCCTCCTGCTTCCGCGCCGAGGGCACGCTCTCCGCCACTCGCGCGGCGAGCGGCCCGTCGGCCTCGAGGCCCGCTCGCGGGTTGACGCCAGGCGCCCTGGCAGCATGCAGGCCGTCCGCGGCGCGCCCAGCCCCGCTGCGAAGCCGATGGCCTGGCCGAGCCTCCCCGCGCTTTTCGGCCCGACCTCTGGAGCATAGGGGGGCAGCACCACTGTCCGCGCGCGGCTGCCACTGCGCTCCTGCTTCTCGAGCGTCGCGTCGACCTTACTGCGGCGGCGCAACACGGGCCCTGAAACGGCCAGGCTGCCCCGCCGCACGAGCCCCATGGGCTTGAAAAGCAGCAGCAGCAGCAGCAGCAGCTCCCTGGGCAAGGGGTGAAAGCCGTCTCTCCCTTCGACGGGCCAGCCAGCGACGTCCGCCCCGCCGCCGCTCGCATCGCCGCGGCCGCGCTCCTCAACGACGGGCGAGGGCAGCGGCCAGGGCGGCAGGCCCGGCGGCACTGGCAGCGGGCCCTGACTCTGCGCGATCGCCGTGGCATTCCGCGGGGCCGGGCGCCGGCCGAGCCCGCGCCGGCCTCCGCGGCGCCTCCAGCAGGGCCGGCCACGCCGCGGTCCAGCGCCAGCCGCTGGCGAGAGGGCGGCCGCGAGTGAGGCGGTCTGCGGCCCGCTGCGGCCGCCCGCGGTGGGCGCTGGGCGCGCCGCCTTCCTCGCGCCGAGGGGGCCGCTTGCGGGCTCCGAGTCGCCGAACTCGTCCTGAACGCTGTCTGTCCTCGGCGGGGCCGCGCGGCAGCTGCCGCTCCGACAGCACGCGCCCAGGGCGGCCCGCGACTCGGCGACTGGCGCGAGGGGACAAGCGGCCTTGTGGAGGCGAGACAGCTACGGAGCGGAGCGGACCAGGACTGAGCTAAACCACTATGCTGATCCAAGACATCGGTTACCAATTTAGAATTAATGCCGGAGTGATCTCGACCCCCGGCATCGCTCTGGTTGAACTCCGAGGGGATCCAGCGAAAGGACGGTGCGACCGCGAGAGCAAGGGCACATGCGCTAAAATGCCTTATCTGCACAAGAAATTCGAGATCGCGGTTACGGGGCCGGGAGAACGCTGACACTGCGGCCACGCTGTCGCACAAGAACAGATGCCTCACACAGCACCCGAAACGGGATCTCGAAAGACGCTGGATGGCTTTCACCAAATCGCGGGCCTCCAACACTAAAATCCCTTCCAACTCCCCACATTCCTTCCCGGACGGCTTTGCATGCGGATCTTCGAAGACGAGGCCAGGGGGCCTCAGGGAAATCCGCCGCGACCTCCCAGTCGCCTGCAAGCTCAAGCTTGACGCGGTAGAATCCGCCCCCTTCCTCGGCCGCCCGCACCAGTAGCTGATTTCGCCAGTCGCCGCCGTCGTCGCGGCAGAGGCGGGCGGAGGCGAGGGTGGAATCGCGAGCTGAGCGCGGGCCAATCCTGCGGAAGCGGGAACGTTCACTAACTCGGCCGACGTTTGAGACCTCCGCGGGGTGTCAAAAACTCCGGGCGATGGACCACCCCGCCAGACTCGCGTCGGTTTCGAGGGCACGCAGGTTCCACGGCAGCCACCAGTCGCGGCCAAACAAAAGCAAAGCCCCTCGGAAAGCTCCGAGCCCCCCGATGACCTCACCCCAAAGGAGAGACACTTCAAGATAGTGCGACAAAATGAAACGATAGACAGCGTGGAAGATAGAAAGACCCCTACGAGCAGCGAGGCCGCAGAATGGCCCATCATCTTTCCAAGTGCTCTTCCGCTGCACCGGCCGCAAGCCAACAGTCCTGACGGGCCGCGCTCTAGCTTCCAGAACCGACTGGGCGTGATGCCCGAGAGGGGCCTCTTCCCGTCCAGCCCAGCACCCAGAGCCTCGCCGCGCCCGCTGTGCATCTGCATCTTGCGATGCGCGAGGCCCACCAGCTCGACTAGTTCGCTCCACTCGGGCGCCATCTGCTCACTTGGCGCGCGGCCGTCCGCGATGGCGCCCTGGTTGTCCACGAGCGCGCAGGCCCCACCAGCCGCGTTCCCCAGCATTGAGAACGAAGGCCTCGGACTGATCCTGAATCAGGTAGTCACCGCGGCGAGCGGGCGCGGCCCCCTGCAGAGCAAAGCCGCGGCACACCAGCTCCTCGTTCGCGGTCTGGGCCACGAAGAGCGACCCTGTGAAGCCCATGGGGAGCGCGGCCATGCACGGCTGCACTTCCTCGCTGGGCCCCACGCCCCCGCTGGGGCCAGCGACCTCCAGCCCATCGAAAACGTGCGCAAGGACGGCCGGGAGACAAAAGAAACGGCCCAGGCTCTCGCGCACTCTCATACGGCACAAGCAGTCCTTCACGTCGGCGGTGGCCACGAAGACGGCGAATGCGTCCAGCAGCTCGCGGCCCTGGTCCGAAGTGGGCAGCGCGCCGCCCGGCAGCTCCACCTCGGTTTTGCCGAACCCCTCGCCGCTCAAGATTCCCACGCCAGGAGGCGCCCTGAAGTATCCGTTACTCCTCCGGGCGCCCACTATCACCCGCAGGGCGCCGCTCGACTTTGCCAGGAAAAAATGCCCAGGGACTCGGCTGGCCGAGTCGTCACTCCCAGAAGTCCTCTCACTGCCAGCTCGCGCGCCAGCGACCTGCAGGACTTCGGGTTCCTCTTCAGCGCCAGGTCTATGCACAACCTCGGCATGCTATCGTAACCAACGGTCTCCAGCTCCAACCTCATTCGCTTGTGGTCCTCCTCCAGATAGGAACGGCCCTCGGCACTCGCATCTCCTCGATGTAGCGGCAGTCGTGCACGCTATCGGGCACCGAGACCTTGCCGGCCTGGTAGGAGACGAGGCCCCTCGAGGCCGCGTCCGCATCGCACACGGACTGCCCCCAGAGCAGCACAAAGCAGGGCTGCCTCCGCCTTCGGCATTGCTGCAGGAGCTGCGGCTTGTCGTCAGGGAGCTTCGCGAAGCAACAGATGCTAAAGGGCCGCATGCTTGTCCAGGGCAGCGCCGCCTGGACTCGGTGAACCACTCGCCCCCTTGTACCCAGCCATCCAGTTCAGGCACCTCAGAGCGCGCTTCACCAAATCAACTGCTCGTTCCCGCCGCCGCGTCCTGCGCTGAGACCGTCGCCCCCCGGCCATCCCCAACGAAAGTGGCCAGCATGGGCAAGGGAAACAGATCTCTCTCAAAATCGGACGGAAGCAGCGGCGCAGAGCGGGCCAAGTTGTCGTGCCAGCTCCGGGGGCCCACTCCCCCGGCGATCCCGTCTCGGTCATGACCGGGCCGGCGAGGGAGGGCTCTGGTCGTCGCCGCCTGTGTCGGGGCGGTCGCGACTCCTGCCTCCTCTCCCGCCGGTCCCCAGCGGCCTCCGCGCCTCTGCGGGCGCTTCCCCACAGCCTCCGCGCCTTCGGGCGGGGCTGGGGAGGCGCCTCCTTAACCGCCTGGCCCCGCTTGGGCGGCATCCTCCCGCGCCAGGCGCGCCACCCGAGGCCCAGCGCCAGCGCCCGCCTCCCCCAGCGCCACCACCAGAGGCCAGCCTCGTCGCGGGTCGGACAGGGCCGCAGGCCATGCGGCCGGCGCGGGGCCGCCCGTTTCCAGCCGAGGACAGGCTATGGACAGGAGAGAAGAGAAGACGAGTGAGAGGGCGTGGGAACAGAGAAAGACCGACGTATAAACTCTTGGATATTCTGCAGTTGGTCATTCGTGCACAACACAACGCTACAGCCGTTCATCTCAAACTGTTCAAGAACATATATATATATATATAAATATAGCGCCGCGCACAAATATTTACAAAGTCTGCAGCAGGTTGAAGACAGGGGGCGGCTCATTCTCAACATGTGGCTCTCTTCTCAGCGCCGCGCATATTCGCCTCAAGAGTTGCAACAGGTTCGAGGACAGAGTGCGGTTCATTTTCAAAATGTGGTTGCCACCTTAACGCCGCGCACATTCGTCTTTAAAACTTGCAACAGCTTCAAGATGGAGGGCGGGTGGTTTTCGAAATGCGGCTCTCGCGAAAGCCCCGCGCACCTCCGAGCGCAAGTTCGCAACCGGTTGAAAGGTTCGCATGGATGGAGTCACAGGAACGGCGCTTTGGCATGGCACGATCTAGAACTGTCAGGACGCAACAATCACCTTCACTTGCGGCGCTGAAGTTTCAGGAATGGTGTTCTGGCACGACGTGGGCCTGTCAGGACGCAACAATCACGTTGGTGTGCGCATGAAATTCAAGGAACGGTGATCTGACACGAGTGAACATTCTAAAACGGCTGTCTTTCAATGAGGCACTTCCCGTAAACAAAAGAATTGATTGTGGGGACCTACGTAGAAGGAGCTCGGAAGGAGGGTTCATTCAATCACCGTTGAGGCGTCTTGGGTTTACACTTGTCCTTTCTCCTCCTCCTCCTCCTCCTCCTCCTGCTCCTCCACCTCCTCCTCCACCTCCTCTTCATCTCCTCCTCCTCCTCCTCCTCCTCCTCCTCCTCCTCCTCCTCCTGTTTCTACTCCTCCTCTTCATGCCCCTGCAGCGGGCGAGTCTGTTCTACGACTACGCGCCGATGCCAAAGCTTTGCCCTTGCAGCCCATGCGGAGCGCCAGGACGACACGGCAGAAGATCAGAACGATGGGTGTGCTCCTCCTCCTCCTCCTTTCTTTCTGCGGCGCGCCACAGGGGAAGGCAGAGGGGAGGTGAACCTTCTCAAAGGGCTCAAAAGGCCTGCAGACTTCTGGGGAGGTTTCTGGGCCTTCTCCGAAGCCGGCGGGCCTGCTGAGCAGACCTGCCGCCTCTCGCTGCCCCCCTCGGCGCGCCGCCAAGGTTCGGCCATCGGAGGACGGCCAATCGAGACAACGGCGGTTCTCCCGCCTGGCCAAAATCTGATCAAAGTCGTTCCGCGGACCCGTCCGGGGGTCTATCCTGACCAGTTTTTCGCGTCGGATCCAGCCGTAGCGACGGGGAGCGTCCAGGAGGCCCCAGCAGGATGGGAAAGCGCCAGGGAGGGCAGCCGTTGCCTCGACGGGCCATCCTCCGATGGAACGTGTCGCCCCGCCAGGCCCCTCCCCCCGCACGGGCCCCGGCCGGGGCGCGCAGTGGGGCCTGGCACTGGCACAGCTCGTGGGCGCGCGGCGCGGACACCTTGCGGCGGGGGGTGACGGCACGGGTGTTCCCACCCCCGCTTCCGCTCGGAGCAGGAGGGAAGGCCTGCACTCAGGGGGGGTTGCAGCACCGCTCAACGACGTGCTGTCAATCAAATCTGCAGGCTGGGCCCTTTCCAATTCTCTGTGCACTTCAGCTTCGCGTCGGCTTCAACATTGCGGGTGCACTGCGAAGCGCCTTGTGGCCAGTTCACCCGAGCCGTTTTTTCCACCCACATGGGTGCCACCGCCACCCCATCGGAAGAGGAGAAGGAACAGGAGGGACAACGGGGGGGGATGGAAGAGGGTGGATGCAGAGGAGGGGGGGGGAGGAGGGAGCGAGGAACGAATAGGACTGAGACGAGTGGCAAAGTCACGCTACCATGGGATATCGCCACCCACTGAATTCGGTGGAAGCCGCGAGCACGAGACCGCGCACAGAGACATCCCTGAAGCGGTGAAGATGCTTGCTGGACCACCCTCGTGCCCCACAACACCCCGACAACGCACACCACGTGCCACAGAGCACGCGAACGAGGTAACAACGTAAGCGCCACCTGTCGAGGTAAACCGCCAACCGAAGAAGCACGGACGGCAAAGTCAGAACGCCGCACATCAAAACTTCATGCCCGTACGCCGCTCAAACACGGACACAGTGGCCAAATGGCTAGCCGCACACCCGTCGCAGCTGACTCCAGTGAGCGACAAGAAAGGCAACATAACATTGGATAATGTGGGGGGCATTCGCAATATGAGAAGCGTACGTGCGAAAGATCAGAGCACCGACAACGTATACCACGAGCCACAGAGCACGCGAACGAGACAACCACGAGAGCCGCACAACCGAAGAAGCACGGTACCTTTCATCCCACACGACAAGACTGATTGCCAACACCGCCTCCCAAACACTACAAAGCAGCATAATGAATCGCCATGCACACGACGCGACTGACACCAGTGAAAGACGAGACAAACCACATAGCACTGGCAGTGCCACAAGCGTACGTGCGAAGTGCCAGGTCAGCAGATCAATAACCAGCCACACAAAAAGAACTTGATTGAAATACGCCCACAACTCCACAACACACTGCCACTATAATGATCGCAAAACTGCGCAATGAAAATGTAACCGTGAACAGCAGAAACGCAAGTACTGTCAGAAATAAATCAGGTGTTAAACAGCCCAAACCTGCAACATGATACGTACACTTTGTCAAGATCTTGCCAACATCCAAAGGATAAAAAGTGAAACAGAAGTGGGACGTGCTCCTCCAAGAGAAAAGGAGGAGGGGGGAAGGAGGATGAGGAGAAGAGAAGAGGAGGGGGAAAGGGAGAGGATGAGAAGGAGGATCGTTCAAGATCATTCTGGTCGCGGCCCCTCGCTGTGGAAGGGGGTGGAGGAGGAGGAGGGGGTGGTGGAGGAGGAGAGGAGGACGACAAAGGAGGAGAAGGGACTGGAAGACGGAGGAGAAGGAGCAGGAAGAGCGTGTGGAATGAGGTGAGGAGTGAAGAATGAGGACAGGAATGGGAAGGGGAATGGGACGGGACGGGAATGCGGCGCGAGAGGAGGAGCGAGATGGGAACGGGACGGTCTAAACGGCCCAAGAAGCCTCCAAGGTGGCCAAAGACGGTGCAAGAGGCCCCCAAGAGGATCCCAAGACGGCCCAAGGCCCAAGATGATCCCAAGACGGCTAAAGAGGCCTTCAAGACGGCCCCGAGACGGCACAAGAGGGCCTCCGGAGAGACCCAAGATGGCCTGAGAGGCCCTTCGACGGCCCAAGACGGCGTCAAGACGACCCCACGACGGCCCCAAGACACCCACCATACGGCCTAAGAGGGCCCCGGCCTAAGAGGGCCCCAGAACGGCCCCAGAGGGCCCCAAGACGGCCCCAAGGTATCCCCAAGACTGCCCTACAGAATCCCCCGACAGCCCTAAGAAGGCCCAAATGAGCTCCATGAGACCTCCCCAAAACTGTCACATGTGATGGCTTGCCTCTTCCCCCGCCTCCAGCTGCTGCTCCTCCTCGTCATCATCATCATCATCATCATCATCATCATCATCATCATCATCATCATCATCGTCATCACCACCACCACCATCATCATCATCATCATCATCAACGCCGCATCATCATCATCATCATCATCATCATCATCATCATCATCATCATCATCATCCTCATCATCATCATCATCATCATCATCATCATCATCATCATCATCATCATCATCATCATCTTCATCTTCATCTTCATCTTCATCGTCATCATCAGCATCGCCACCATCATCATCATCATCGTCGTCATCAGCATCATCATCATCAGCAGCATCGCCATCATCAGCATCATCACGGCTCTCCCAACCTTGGGAACTCAAGCTGTCACACGTGACGGCCTCTGATACCCCCTCGAACAGTCGCCATCCTCAATGCTGGGCTGACACGGTGGTCAAACTTGCAACAGACAGGTGGATGATTACCATGCTCCTCATTATGTTATTCCTCCTACTCTTCCTCCTCTTCCTCCTCATCTCCCTCGTCATCATCATAATCCGCATACCTGTCACCGCCACAACCACCAACGCCGTGATCATCATGACAATTATCCTCATAGCCATATTCAGGATGACCACCACCATCTTAACCGTCGTCATCATCATCACCATCATCATCAGCAGCAGCGATAACAGCAGCAGTAGCAGAAGCATCGGCAGCAGCAGTAGCAGCATCGTCATCAGCACCAGCAGCAGCAACAGCGGCAGCATCAGCATCGTCATCATCATCATCATCATCATCATCATCATCAGCATCATCATCATCATCATCATCACCATCAGCATCATCATCATCATCAGCAGCAGCAGCATCACCACCATCATCATCGCCCTCAAAAACATCAGCATCAGCATCAGCATCAGCATCAGCATCAGCATCAGCAGAATCGTCATCATCAGGAGTTGCATCAGCATCATCGCAAGCAGCAGGATAATCATAATCCACATCTCCATCCAAATGCTCGTCATCGTCATCTTAATCAGCAATATGAGCATCACCCCAATCAGTATCATCATCGTCGTCTTCATCGTCATCCTCATCATCAGCATTATCATCGTTATCACTGGCAGAGTTAACTAGATGCGCATCATCATCAGAATCATCAGCATCACCATCATCCTTATGATCATCACCATCAGGAGCATCACACTCATCAGCACCATCATCAGCAGCAGCATCATCGTCATCATCATAATCATCAGCATCATCAGCAGCATCACCATCATCATCATCAGCAGCAGCAGCATCGTCGTCGTCCTCGCCAACGCCATAATCATAGTCTGGGTGATCGTCGTCACAATCGTCACGGTCGTCGCGATCCTCATTACCAGCATCATCACCACCCCACCACCACCACCACCACCACCACCATCATCATCATCATCATCATCAACATCAACATCATCATCATCATCATCATCATCATCATCATCATCATCATCAGCATCATCATCATCATCATCATCATCATCATCATCATCATCATCATCATCATCATCATCATCATCTGCATCAGCATCATCATTATCGTCGTCATCATGACAACCACCATCACCATCCATCACCATCCATCACCATCACCATCCTCCACCACCCTCATCCCCACCATCGCCACTCCTCCTCGCACTCGAGCCCCGTGCCCCACTGCTGGCCGGGGGGGGGGCCGCAAGAAAGGGCGAAGCAGCGGGCCGACCAGCGAGCCTCCACGACGCCCAGGGGGCGGAAGTCCGTGGAGTAGAGCCGCACGCTCTTGTCGGCTACGAGCTGCACCTCGCGGAGGCGGCAGCTCTCGTCGGACACGGCCAGTGAGCGTGGCAGCTCTCGTCGGCCAAGAGCCGCTACGCTCTCGTCGGCCAGCCCGCGGGGGCCCGAACGCGCTCGCCGTGGAGGCGGAGGCGGAAGGCACGTCACCCTTACCTCGAGCTGTCTTATCAAGGTCACCTAACATCGTGCACCGCGCCCCGCGGTGTGCGATGCGCGGCTATCTTCGCGCCCTCGCGCCCTCGCGCCGCCCGCCCTGGAGAAGGGGAGCCGCGCTGGCCAAGACCACGCGCGAAGCTCGATTATCTCTAATCCCCATTCCCCGTCTGGCGCCTGGCACAGCAATCTGTTCGTTGCACGGGAATTAGCGGAATGGCCGCCGCATCTATGGAGGTGTTGGCGATCAAGCGGAAAAAGCGGAGAAGGTTCGGAGGTGAGGAGATGTAGAGAGGCCCTTTCGGGCGTAGAGGTGGACACTAGGCAAGGACAGTCATTGAGGGGAAGGTTTTGGCACGCGAGCTCGTCCTGTTCCCCCTCCTCCCACCTTGAAAAAGGAAAGAGGGAGGCGGGGGAGCAGGAAGAGCTCCGGTAACAGGCGCCAGGCTGGTAAAACAGCTCGAGACACGCATCCATTCCCCTCCGCTTCTCCTACCCCGCCACAAGCTACTTCAGCAGGGGGAGGGGGGGGCCAGCGTCGATCGCTTGGCAGGGGGCAGGGGGAAAGGGCATCGAAAGAGGCAGCATGCTGCTTGCCTCGCGACAGCTTTCATGAAAGGGCCACAAATTCACCCTCATCGAGAATTCAGGCGTACCGGTATAGCAACTCGCTCAGGAGAGAGAACATGTACATACAGCTCTGCGCGAAATGGGAGCAGACATGGTGCAGACTGCCCAGCGCCCACACCGAGGCAGCACATTTATCGGATGGCAGACTGTGAAACGAATCGCCAGGCCATCACTGCGAAGCCAAACGTACCACCCCCAAACGTCGTGATGCTTTCGCAACGTGGACACCGGGAATGCTCAACCTAAGCCGTGTTTTGATGGTCCTCGGCCTAGCGAGGGCCCCCAGAGGCAGAAAGAACAATAACAAGAACCGGATGATGCTTACGATGTAAAAACAACTGCGAATAAAGCCGATGAGTAATAATGATTATAACGATAGTCAAGCAAGCAATAATAAAAAAAAAAAAAAAGGCAAGCAGAAACGCAAACAAGCAAACAACAAAACCAATCACTTTCCGTCGTGCTTTTGTTCGCGACGCGAGGGTGCCTGTACGCGCTTCTCGTCGGGAGGACGGCCTCCGTCCGGGTGCAGGCACCCCGCCAGCAACCGCCACGCGCGAGGCCCACCCACGAACTGGGCTGATGCTTGCACAAGAGCCTGATCGCTGGCGACCGTCACGGCCATGCAGCCGAGGATGACAGAGGGCATGCGGCGCAGGCACAAGGCCGTCCACGGCGGCAGCAGAGTCGAAAGTCTGCCGACCCGACAGCGAAACCAAAACCGACCAACGTCGGCGGGACGCAAGCACAGTAGAAGAGCGCGGCAGCGCGGCAACGACACATTAACTGAACCGACCGAACCGAACCGACTGAACGCAACCGACTGCGACGCAGCCGAACCGACCGAACCGCGAACACCTTTTTCGGGGCCCAAAGATGAAGAGACAGACAGACAGACAGACCGACAGACCGACAGACAGACAGACAGACAGAAGACTGACATACTGACAGACTGACAGACTGACAAACAAACAGACCGAGTCAAACGGCAGTCTATTCGGGCGCCGCCGGGGCTGGCGCCGCGCGCGCGCTGAACCCTTCAGCCCAGGACAGGCACAGCAAAACAGGGCGAGCTATGCGGCCAGACCCTGGCGCACGGCCGAGGCGGCTTGCGACGGAGTGGCTGACACGGCACGCGGCCCCCGAGCATCGCTCGGCGCTGAGCCTCCTGCGGAGGACGGCGCGCGGGCAGGAGGCGACCCCGGGCATGCCGCCGCCGCGCACAGCGGAAGCGGCGCACCGCACGGCATCCCAGACGGAGGAGGAGGAGGCGAAGGAGGAAGACGAGGAGGGAGGAGGAGGAGGAGGAGGAGGAGGAGGAGGAGGCGGAGGAGGAGGAGGAGGAGGAGGAGGCCACGGGAGGATCGACCCGTGTGCCGGACGGCCGGGCTCGGACCGAGGGCAGGGGCCTCAGAGGCCAGGCCGAGACCGAAGCGCCCAAGCGGCGCGGCATGGAGGGGCCCAGGGACGCACAGGTGAGCATGGGCACAAGTCCGAAGGTTCCCCTCCATGTGTCCATCTGTGCTGGCTGCTCGCCTCCCCCTCCACCCCCCATAGGTTCCCAGATTTTCCTGGGGATCGACGACGTGCTTTTTTCCCCCTCCTGAATGTGGCATCTTCAAGTCGGAGCGCAGGGCCAGCTGGGGGGACCATCGTCCGCCTCTTGCGGTGCGACGGCTTACCCAGCCATTGATTACATTGTTCGCTCCTCCACCTCCCTGATCAGGGCAACTCGCCTGGGCATCGTTTATGGGTGGGCTGGTGGGGTTACTTTTTGGTCGGCGGCTCCAAGGCAACGGTCAAGAAGCGAAAGCGGCGTCCGGGTGGCGGAACGGGGCGAATTTGCGAACAAAGCCGCCAGCGTCGGCGAACAAGCTCGCACCCGCAAGACAAACTCGCAGTTGCACATGCACAGAACAGAATGAACTAAATTCACCAGCAAACGCACATAGGCGCAGCAGCGTGAACCGAAGTAAACGGGCTGCCGAGAAGAATGTGGGGAGGCAACGGAGTGAGTCGCCGGGGCGGCGCCAGACTCCATGCCGACCTGCACAAGCCGAACGGCTGTGCGGTGTAACCGAGACAGTGCGCGGGGGAAGACCACAGGCTGCACAGGCATTGCAGGCTGAACCACTCAGCGCCCGGCCCTCAGAAATCCTCCTCCCAGTGCCGGGGGGAGCCAGCGGCAGCCCAAGGCGCACCGTGTTGCCGACACCTCAAGCGGAGAGGTCCGCTGGCGTCCGAGACAGTGCGCGGGGGAAAACCAAAGGCTGTACAGGCGTTGTAGGCTGAACCACTCAGCGCCCGGCCCTCAGAAGCCCATCTCCCAGTGCCGAGGGGAGCCAGCGGCAGCCCAAGGCGCAACTGCGCTGCCGGGTCCTGAAGCGACGAGGTCCGCAGGCATGCAGCACCGCCGTCGGGTGGTGAGGGTCGGCACATTGGTAGTGGAGACGCCTGCGCTGCCTGCCAGGGGGGGTCCTGCTGCAGTGAGGCTGAGGTGGCCAGCCACCCCAGACGGTCGCGTGGCGCTGCCCCAGAGCCCAAGCGTGGTCACAAACCAGTTGTCTCCCCACAGCCGTGGAAACTGACGCTGACATGGTCAAGGAAGACCAGGAGCAGCACGACCCACGGGGCGAGTAGGGGGGGTGGGCCACAGCCCAGCGAAGGCCGCCACGGGCGAGCCCCGAAGGCACGGGTGGGGGACACCCACCGGGCCAAAGGGGAGAGGCGAGGGACGCAACGTCACGCCCCACGGCCAGAGCCAGCAGCCGAAGCTGGGGGCCGCGGCCAGTCACATGGGGTGCCCAGGGGCAGCTGCTACTCGCCGAGAGCACCTGCGCGGAGGAACGGGGGGGGGCGCAGCTGACCGCCGCAAGGAACCATTTACATCGTGGGGGTCGCAGCAACTCGCCGCTGAGGTCCCAGCTGGAGTGGGCCAGCAGCGAGATGCGCCTCTTGGGGGGGTCCTGAGGTGTCGCAGCTAGTCACCGCAGGAGCTGAAGCTGCCAAAACTGCACATGGGGATGCCTCCCATGGGGTCGTTTGGGTCTTCGCGGGGTGGCTGCATGGTCCTTACGTCCTTCCAGGGCGCCTCGTAGATCTGCACTCGCGCTGGGTCGCCTCTTGGGGATTTGGTGGCACGGCCATCCCCGTCCTTGGTGTCTTCCCACACGGGTCGCTGGCGGCCCTTGTCACCGCTCGCGCGGCTGAGGATGCGGTCGTCCCTAGCGCCGCTGATTCTCCAGGTTGAGCTGCTTGCTCTTTGTGGGCTGTCTCTCGCCCTCCTGACTTCACGGATGGCGTCCCGATCTACGATCCGATCGAATGGGGACCAGGCGTCGGGCCTGCTGGGTGGGTCCTGGAAGTGGTTGAAAGGGTCAGGGCCCTCCTCCTCTCCCTCGTCCGCCATAGGGGTTGGGCTAACCGCCGGGCTCGAGTCCTTGGCTGTGTCTGACTCGCTTTTCTTGTCTCCGTCCTCGTCCCAGTCGATCCCGTCCGGTTCGCCTTCGTTTCTGCCTGCCTGGTTGGTTGGGCCTCTCCCCTCCGTCGGAGGGCCACACCCCCCGTCTGCTCCTGTAGCGCGGGGGTTTGCTCTGGGAGCGTGGACAGAGGCGTCCTCCTGTACAGGTCCGAGGCTGTCTGCTGGGGGGGGGCAGCGGTTTCGTCTGCTCTGTTCAGCCGGGTTGCTGCTGGGGACTCGGCCGCCGCTGTGGAGCCTGTGTCTGCCTCGCGTGGGTCCCGGTGGGCCAGGACGCTGATGGTACCGTAGGCAAGGGCGGCGCGGTCAATCCCCATGAGGAATGTCAACAGTGTGCTGATCCGCTGTCGGAGGGGGCACTGTCCTCTCTGCTCGGTCAGGATGGCAGCGTAGCTGCACCACATGTCCTCGTACTTCCCGCTGGATATTGTTAGGTGGTAGACCACTCGTGCCGCTGCGGCCCGCTGCCCGTCCCATGGGATGTCGGGGGGGTAGCAGTCGTTCGGGATCGTATCCCCGTAGATCATTCCCAGGAAAGGGAGCAGACGTGTCGGGGGCCACGACCCCTCATCGGTTTTGTCCCCTGAGATCCCTGCACCGTGCTGCAGCATGAAATCAGCCCAATATTTGTAGACGGAGTGGTTCCATTCCAGCATGTACTTCGCCAAGGAGCGTATGGGGCCGTCGGACTCCACCCCAGTGAGCCTGAAGGTGGAGTGGGTTGGTAGAACGGGGCCCTCTGGCG